CCCCGAAGGGTACTCCCTTCCTGAACGGTTTCGAGTCAACTCGAACCCAAACCAACTCGGACCCACGACCAACTCGGACCCTATGTGGCACGGACTCTCACTCCCGATCCATCCTTAGCCACACATCCGTATGTGCAATTTCATGTCGGCATACTGAACATTTTCGGCGCACCCACTTATCATCGTGGGCGCAATTTCTTTTGCACACGAACATGATCCTTGACCTTGCCGTTTTCTGAAAAATATTTATTGAATGATTTCACTCACGTTCTTTCTTCAGGTATTTTCCAGTATTTTTTCCTTTATCCATTCAATCTAACGGGCTCACTCTCACAGTCGCCATCTTTACAATAAGGTCGTTGAACATCACGTCACTTGACCCCTCACCGTCTCGACTGCTGTTCCATGTCAAGACATCTAAACTGCTGCCAAAGTTTTGAAGAGCTCATTGGTACATGTAGTATCTTATCGCTCAGTCTGTGTATTACATATGTAAATGCGGTAAATATGTTTAATGAAAATACGTGACTTGAGTCAAGAGTCACCAAGCTCAAGTCCGAGTTATCGTGGCCGAGTCCGAATCATTATACAATGTGACTCGAGTTGAGTCCGAGTCATGAAAAATGTGACTTGAGTCCGATTCAAGTCCCAGTTCTGGACTCGAGTTGTACAACACTGCAGAAGAGAGACCTACATTTGAACTTTTAGATTTCCCTTGGTAGATACATGTACATGTAACTGTGACATGCTCAATAACTGCTGGGTTGATGTGAAAAGACGGCAGGGTTTTGAATTTTGAGGGAAATCCTGAAGGGAAAGTGTTTGTGTTTTAACACATGACACATGGTGGAGTCAAATTTGCATGGCAGGTTTATCGGTAGAAAAGTCCAATTTTCTCACAATTTACCATTTGAAATTTCCAAAAAACATGGTCAGGGTAGTTCAGACAGCGTTGCCTTTAGTTTTGGGGAATGACCAGTTTTACACAGATTAAAATGAAAAAAACTTGGGGAGTCCCCAAATTCACAATCCCCCTGAAGGGGTACCCAGGCCTGAATGGTACAGTCCAAGCTCCATGAAAAGGCAAGTTGGCAACAAAGGTTATGTTATACTCTGTTTTGAAAATTGATTTGTGACTTCCAACTACATGTACTGGAAAGTCTCTTTCAGCCCAAGTACGTGTACATGTATTACACTTCCATACCTAAGCAAAAACTCATTCATGAAAGACTTTTCGGGGTAACGGGTAAAATCCCCAATCCAACTCATGTTCTGTTGGTTTATTGTATATTATTATTACCCCTTTAGTGTAATGGTATGGTCCGAGCTTCAACATGGCTTTCGATTTCGTAGCTGTTCGGAGGAAGCAATTTTTGTGAACTGAAAATCACAGTTTTCAAGAGTCTAACCTTTTGTAATTTAGCCAAAATGTCTTTTTGATAAATAATAAATAACGGTAATTAGTAAGAAATCGAAATCGTCTTTCCCTCCATTATGTGCGACACACATGTCCCTACTTCCTGAACAATAAGGCAGTACTACGTAGGGCTTGGTGGTTCCTTACTTTGTTAATGGGTTTGTTATGCTTTGGGATTTTGAATGCAGTCCAGCAATAACCCTCTGTTGCTTGTTGAAACTGCACTTTCTCAATCAAACCTTCCCCGAAAAGCCGTCAAAAATTGATCATGTACAGCCTGTGTTAAAATCACATGCCCTGAGGTTTTTGGACCGCGTAACCAATTGTATTTGCCAAAATATTAAAGCTTTTTCTAACCATCTTGCCTTTCATCATAAGACGAATTTAGGTACTTTGGGAGGTGGATTGATTGCAGTAGCATAAAGTTTGAGTCACTACAACTAGATGGTGACTTCCAGCTTGACGACAAGACTTTGACATGAAATATCATTTTTCTCCCTCAACATAAGTGAACCAAACACAAGGGGTCTTCAGTGTAAAATATCCAAGATGAGAACCCGACTGGATAAAAGAAAATTGTTCTTTGTACATTGATCAGTTGATACATGGAACATCTCACCTGGATTCGTGGTATCAGCAAGACAAGACAAAATATTCGGCATCTGAACCATTCAAATATGATGTTGATACTCAGACCCATGCATGTACACATCTAAATTTAATAAGAAGATTCATGTAGGTCAGATGAAAGAGGCCTTTGAAGGTCAACAGTCAGAAGGAGGACCGGGAAGTGCTTGTTAGTGAAATCTGAGGATTTCCTTGGGCTATGCATCTGATTACATAATGGTACATGAGACATACATGTATGGAAGATTCTGGCACTATTGCCTTGTCATGTCCAAATGTTAAAAAAGGTAATTTGTAGGGTCTAATGACTCAGACTACAGACTCAGCCTGAGTCACTCAAGGTCTAATGATTGTGGCCTGTGGAAATTTCAGATCTGAGTTTTGTCTCACGAGACTTAATATCCAACCTAACAAAAAGGCCAACAAAACTCGCCCAATACCGCTAGTTGACACTCACAACATTCTGAAAGTCAATGAATCACTTGAAGGTACATGCATTACAGATTTTAACATTAAAACCACCATCTTTCAAAGGGAAGGTATACTATGATGTCACTGAATTTCATTTGAAGCTTGGCATTGCAGGAATGCTATTTCATGACACACGCCTGCGACGTGCCAACATGCCTATTGCTAAGGTCCCAAGAAAATGAGATGGGGAACTTTGCAGTACTTAAACATTAACTTGGCAGACACTGACAAGGTTACCAGCCCATTAAAAAGATTTTTTCCACACCTCATGCAGGTTAGTCCTGTAATTTTGAGTCCTGTAATTTTGGACCAAGGTTGCCCAAAGTCCACTGCCTTAAGCTACATGTACCATAGTCTACTAGGGGGGGTTGTAGGTCATGCTACTTGGACTTGCTGGTTTTCTCTCACTCTAGCATCCATCAATTTTTTTGAAAGTGTACTAAGGGCTGTCATGTTGCAAGACCTCAACCGAGTTTTAAGCCTTTGATAACAACATGGGCAAGAACTCCATGAAGTAACTGACTGAGTACCAAGATGAAAACACTTAAGACACTCAAACTTTTGTTTAGGTGAGAGAAGCGGCAGCAGCCCTATTGGCCTTCCACAAGAAGAGAGACGACAAGACATCGGAGGCTGTTCTTCTCAATCAACACAGCGAGATCAAACTTATCATCTCCCTCTGGAAGATCACCGGCAAGAAAGCAAAGACTTACCCTATGTGAGATTGTCAAAATGTTGTCATATTTAACTTACAAGGCCTACATGTAGCTCCAAACAACAATTTCCCCAAGGTTTCCACTCATGTGGGTAGAGGGATTCAACAGAGAGTGTTTATGTGTGGATGGTTGAACATTTTGTAAATGTTAGCAAGTTTAAATGATTCTTTGTGTTCTGTGCATTATGCAAATTCTACATAGAATTATGCAATTCTATACAAGGTTAGGGAAATGGTACGTATGACACTGCATGTTTTTCAGTGTGACAGTTTTCGAGTTTGGCACACACTTGTTTGCCTTGGGGTGACAACTCCACACATTCCCAAATTTGTACCCTTGTGGAGACACGGCTTTGTTCTCCAGTACTAATTCAGTCGCGTGTGAAACGATGTTTTCAAAATGCTCCCATTTCAACATGAATCACTCTCCTGGACTGAAATTTCGACCGAATGTCCCTTATATGAAACACTTCAATTTACGACAAATTTTCATACAAGCACATTAAAAATTTCTCCTTTTTGAGCGATTTCTTAATATCGCTTTTGTTAAATCCTTGTGGAGACCTATACACCTTGAGAAATTCCTTGTGGAGACCTATACACCTTGAGAAATTCCTTGTGGAGACCTATACACCTTGAGAAATTCCTTGTGGAGACCTATACACCTTGAGAAATTCCTTGTGGAGACCTATACACCTTGAGAAATTCCTTGTGGAGACCTATACACCTTGAGAGAAATTCCTTGTGGAGACCTGTTCAACCCATTCTCCTGGTTCTCCACAAGGCACCATATTCTGAAACATGACACTGAATTCTTGTCCATTTAGCTTAGTTGAAGCATTGTTGTTAATGCTTTTGTTAATCTGCTGATTCTAAACACCTTTCGACGCAGTGAAAGTTTTCTGTGGAATTGTACTCCAAGTACAGCAAATGATAATTTCTCTCTGTATAATCAACATCTTTAACTCCTTAGACTTAAACTCATCAGCTTCTCCTGATTTTCTGCAATTCAGAAATATTCCTCATCCTTTGAGAACACCAGAGACTGAGGTTTGCCTGTTTGCCAAAGATGACGATAATCATGACTCTGAGGCAACTGTAATACATTACCAGGAACTGCTGCAGAGTAAAGGGGTCACAGAGGTCAATGAGGTAGGCCACTGGCGTAGATCACAGGCTTCATATAAAAAAATCTGGACCTGTA